TGCTCATTGCTATCTTCTTGACCAGGCGGCCGCACATGCACTTGTTACAAGATCAGTACAGCCGTCCGAATAAATGAGATGCTAAGAGTGCAAACTGGCCTCCAGCTAGGTACCGGCCTTCGGGACCAGGTCCCTGAGCCGAGCCTTCGCTTAGAATCGAAGATAAACGATCTGAACCGTGCCATCTGTCAGTGGTGGCAGAATGAACGGTCGTGAATGCAAGCCCGCTCGTCCCCCAAGTTCCAACCCACGCAAAATCCGCCGTATCAGTCGCGAGCTCTTTCAACTAGAGCAGCTAGTTACTAAGCTAGGCAGACTCGAGCTAGCTTGCAGCAGATCAGCAAAAAATGGCGCCTCTGGGTTTTGGCAAAAAGGATGAAGCAGACATCTCTTGCTTGCCCTCTGAACTCCTCGCCCTGATAGCGAGATGCCTTGAACAAACCAACGGTGGTTCTGCTCGGGAGCTGAAAAGCTTCACGAGCGTCTGCAAAGAGTGGTGCACTGTCGGAAGAAGCGCAGCAAGACGGCTTGTCATTGACCTTGACGCTCGCAAGTGGCCAAACCTGCAACCGGCACAACGTTTGGAACGCCTCCTGAAGCTGTTCCCTAACGCAGAGGGTGTGAACTTTCGAGCAAGTCCGGTTCTGAGCTTCTCTTGGCCCTGGAACATGTTCCAGGGCCTGAAGCATTTCCGATTCGAAAGTCAAGTTACCTCGGGACCTCATGCTCAGTCCGGAACAGAGACCAAGCTTCGTCTTGGGGGTAATTGGAGTCTTGTGGAGACGATCGTTGTTTCTGGACATTTTGTCTTGGATTCTCAAACGCAGGGCTCACAGGTATGGAACTGGACAAACTTGCAGAATCTGGACGTCACCCTACAGCCAGGACTGGCCTTGTTACCTTCCACCTTGGGAACTTGGCACAAATTGCAAGAACTGCGGTTAAGAGGGTGTAGGCGTACAACGGTCGGCGGGCTTCCAAGGGAGGTTGCAAATTGGAAGGATCTCAAAAAGCTCCACCTAACAGACGTAAATGTAAGGTCCTTGCCACCAGAAGTCGGCTGCTGGGTGCACCTTGAAGTGCTTGAGCTGGAGAATGTAGAAGACTTGGAGACTTTTCCTTTTGAGGTTGGCTTTTGGACAAACCTGCGTCATCTAGCCATTGCATTGTGTCCTAACTTCACAACGCTTCCGATCTCTGCCTGCGATTGGAGGTCTTTAAAGATCGCAAGTTTCAGAGAGCTGCAGCTGTTCGAGCTCTCCAGTGCTGTCAAAGGATGGGTCAGTACAGAATCGATTGCTTTCGTAAGCATCCCACGCCTCACAGAGCTGCCTGTGGAAGTAGAGAACTGGACTTACTTGGTTAGAGCAAGCTTCGCAGATTGCAACGGCTTAAAAGATCTATCAAAAGGAATTGAGGGCTGGAGAAACGTGAAGAAGGTTGTGCTGACTGATTGTGGCGCCTTGAACGGTCTGCCTGATCAAATTGGGGGGTGGAAGAACCTCGAGACCCTCAAGATACACAATACTCCACTCAAGTTGCTCCCTGGAGCGGTCAGTAAGTGGAGGCGTCTGCGGAACGTGAGTATAAAGAATTGTGCTTTGCTGCGTAGCCTGCCTGGCGCTGTGAAGGGGTGGAGGCAGGTTGAGGAGGTTAGTATCAGCTGCAAAGCACTGGATCGATTGCCTCGAGAGGTGAAGCAGTGGAAGAATCTTCGGCGGCTCTGCTTGGTGGCTGGAGGCGGGTCGGTTATTGCTCTACCAGAAGAAGTTGGAGGTGCCTGGAGCAACCTTGAGCACTTGTCCGTTTCAAGGCTGCGCAGTATTCCTTCCAGTGCGGGCGGTTGGAAGAAGCTCAAGAACTTGGAGATCCTGGCGTTTGATTCAAAAGGTATTCCAACAGAGGCTGCTAGAATGTGGACAGAGATGAGGAGTCTCCATCTCGGCAGTTCCAAGCTCGTAGAGCTACCCGTCACTTTAGTCGCTTGGAAGAATCTAGAGTCCCTCTGCTTGGACTGCCCTAACTTGCGGGGGCTTCCTGACGTAGTAAGCAGATGGAAGCTAGACAAGTCCTTGAAGAAAGTAGACCTGAGAATGGCCAAGGATCTCAAGCGAAGGCCGGATAGGTGGCGCTTATGATATTTCTGAAGACCTCTTCGCTTTCAAGGTGATCTCCATATAATTTGCCTGACGACTTTTGCGTCTGATCGTTCAAATGTAGAGCTTGCTGCAGATGGATTGCATGCTGATAAGACTTGTATAGCCGACGGCAACCTTATAACACTTAGACAATCCACTTCTGGCTGACACGATACGTTCTTAGATATCAGAAGGCGCTTCAAAGACCAATTTGAGAGATGGCCAGATTGTTTGCACGTACGTGTTGTGTACGACTCCAACATGTTTCTGCGAACCGAAATGCAGGATACAGACAGCCTTCGAAAGTCTTTTGCACTCCGAGGCTTCTCATGAATGTCCTTAAGAGCTCCGACTTGCGGGATGTTTTGATATGCTATGAGAGGCGGCTTTCAAATCTACCAGGTGGGAGGGCTGGAGTGATGACACGCACTCCCCCTCATCGTGATGCGTATTCTGAGGGAAGATACACATCGAAAAGGATGATAAAGCTGCGGCTGTTGCGTCTTGGAACGGTGAAGAGGGATCCTACAGGAACACTCTTTCACGTAAGACATGCTTCAGAATGCAATGATCGAGATCTCAACAGTATGCGACTCGATCATCGATGCGGGCCAAACCATCATTGATAAGTACAGACTTAAGATCAAGTCTTTGAACGCCAATTCTGCGAACCCAGCATGGACGCAATAAGCGCGTGCAGGCGGCAATTGAGACGGAAGGCCGGATACAAGTACAGACCTAAGTGGATCGCCGGTGCTTCGGCGCACAAATACAAATGATTGTTCGACACTGCGACCACGCGGCGGGTTACACAAAGTCATTTTCAGCTGACAATTTACAAGACGCGACATACAATTCTTCTCTGCAATTGAGACATCGACTGCAAGTGGTTGGGTCCTCTTGTAAATGGAAGCTGTGCTATTCGTAGTGACCCCAACACCTGCTGTCTCCTCATACCTATCTACAGACCCGACTCCTGCTGTCCTGTCATAAGATGCAGTCTTCACCGTCGTGCACGCTACTCTACAAACAGATTCGTGGCCGCATTACGCCAGGCGGAGCGCGCGCATAGCTCATGCCTTGACGGAGCCGTCTGAGGACCACGAGTCAACAGAGCTGGTCTCCAAGCCTTCTTTGGTGGGCGCCTTGCGCTGAAACGTCGAAGGGATTGAGGTCAGGGTGGTTTGTGTTAAGCGCGTAACCGGAGTTTCGATATTGATCAGATTAGAAACAATGCAGGCAAACGATCTGGAAACTGGGGTCGAATATCTCTGGGTTCAAGAACGAGTTCGTTATCGCCTTGGATAAGAAGGGCCAGAATCAAAGATGCCGCGGAAGAACAGGCATCGACTATCGGAGGCCAAAAACTGAGGGTTATATACAAAAGCCTGCAGACCTCAAGCGACATGAAATTTGACAGACTTCAACGAACCACGAAATGGCAACATGATAAAACGTCCTGAATAAGCAGGAAGGCTGCAATATTTATCTGACCGAGACGAGGACTTATTGCAAGGCAAGTGTCTTTCCAGGCCATCCTCTCCATTGGGTAGCAAAAAACGTTCTGTGTTCCTTTGCTTTGTTCATTCTGGACGGAACCTGAGAAGCCATGATAATTTCTATCGCGTGAGCTGATCGAAAGGACAGGAGTCTAAGTCCGGAACCTGAGAAGCCATGATAATTTCTATCACGTGAGCTGATCGAAACAACTGGAGTCCTAAGGGTTCTAAATAGGCGTGGCAACGGTAAGACAAGACCGAGGATGCAATTCTTGACTCTGTGTAGGCTGCGTCGAGAAGTGAATGTTCGGCCAGAGAAAGTTCCTTTCATCGCTTAAACAAACACACGAGCTGACCAAAGAAAGCCTCTGACTATTTGATCACATTGAACAAAGCCGAACAAAACCGCCCACTACATAGAGCTTACGTCTTTGCCAACAGATTGTGGGGTTCAGACCGAAGAATCGCCTGCGGGTTTGCCTCAAAGAAAGTTCGATCGCAAATCAACTACCGCATTGTGCAGTCCGAAAATCCACGAATCACGCTTTTGAAAGTCCCTGCAAAGGACGTCTTGGAAACAGTAGTTTCTCATATCTTGCAAGTTATCAGTCGCCACATTTGACACAAACATAGCTTTTTGAACAAAATTGGTTCCTTTTAACTCACCCAGAAGCCACATTTCGCCACAAACTTGATTTCTCGAACAAAATTGGTTTCCTTTCCACTCACCCAGAAGGCCAGCTTTCCAAGCCATCCAAAGGGGCTGGCAATGCACGCCTGCTTGTTGAACTCCCCTGGGTACACCACCTCCTCGCTCTTGCCCAGGAAGTCGCTGCTGCTCTCCTCCTGGATGATCTTCACCGGGCGCTTCATGCCAGAGCTGTCATTGGTCTGAGTCAGAGTCCTCAGGTCCACAGTGTAGTGGGAGCCAGATGGGTGGACAGTAGACCGGAGCAGGCCAGTCTTGACAGTCTTCTCGGCGTTGTTGTAGGCCTTGAGGATGAGCTGAGCAGTCGCCGGCTTGTACTGGACCCAGACCTTGTCATCGCGCCAGTAGACTCCTGCAGAAGAAAAAAGTGTTGTCAATCCAAAGTGTCTCCAGAGTACGTTCGGGTGACGGATTTGTTCGCAAAACTGTGTCAGGTTTCTTCAGAATGTAGATTAGAAGAAGGGATTAACAGGTTTGAGAACTGGTGCGATTCACAAATCTCTTGTCATTGATCGCAAATTGTCAAGTATCTCGGATGTGAGGAAAGTGTCCTGTAGGTGGATCAAAGTGTTCCCCATTTTTGAAGTACAAGAGAGATTTTTCGTTAATTTTTGGTTCAATACATTACACAAAGAGACATCTGTACCTCATCTGTACAGAATTGTGGATACAGGAATGCTCTGCATTGCTGTTCGATGTTGCCTGTAATCCAACAAAACTGTCCAGAACTTTCAATGACATCAAGCGTTTGTTCACTTCACAGCACATTACTACATTACTGCAATATACACAGCGAGGAGGAGACAGGTTCTCATGCATGCGACACCAAGTGCGATACAACTCGTCCAGATCATAAATGCGGGTTGCAATCAGAAACTTCGAGAAAATCCTGTTGAAATGCGGACAAGCTTGCCTGGCTTCGTGGGCTCTGGAGCGCCTGCCTCGATGATGCACATGGTGGCAGCTTGGAAGAGATGAGGAGGAACTGAGCTTAGAGGAAAGAGGGAGGAGCTGGAAGCTGCCGGAGGAGAAGGAGCGCCTGGAAAATTGACGCGAAGAAAATGCACGAAGACTCAGATTGTGCTGCGATTGTACGCAAGACTGTTGAAGTGCCCTATCGCCACTGATTGGGCTGAGTCCTGGTGCTGTGACCAAGTGCACGCTTGCCAAGCCCACGTGCGGGACTGGCACACTGTTCATGAGGCTGTGACAAAGAGCGCAGCCAGACGGAGAGCCCACGCGGACTTGGACCCGACGCGGCCGTTCTTTGGGGTTCAGACAGGGGTTTTACGATGGACATCCGGCCCGGGGCGGCCGCCGATCTGGCCATGCGCGCGCAGGCGGCCGCGGGCGTCGAAGCAATGTACATCCGACGGACACTGAGTACGTTTCAGTAATTAAGTCTCGCGTATGCGTCCGGAATGTGGTCCGAATAGCGCTCGCTATGCTGGAATTGAATTTGAAGTGCTCATGCAGGCTCGAGTCAGCCTGTTCATTGCAACACTTTGCGCAATGGCGGCCAATTGAGAAGCATTCTCTTTGTCTTACAGCTAGACCGAGAAAGCAGAGAATGAATTCGGTCCTAGGGCCGACTGATTGGGACTTTCTGAGTTTATCAAGGCACCAGTAGTAAGGAATTGTACAGGCCGTAATCCTCAGTTGCACTCCTAATGAGTTCCAATGCTCTCATGCACATTGGCAAGGATTGTCCTGTTTGGAGCATCACGTGGTCTGCTTGAAAGCAATGCAACTTTGATCAAGGCGCAATCGCAATGTGAATCAGCGCAGCGAGGCGGACTCTCAAGGTGTTGGGCCAATTTCCATACAAAGTCTTTGGCAGAGGCTGCAAGGAGGCCTAAGGACGTAGAGGTGAGCGTTTAGTCGACTTGTCTACTAGGTAGTCTGCTGATCGACCTGTGAGCAGATGAGGCATTTCGGCCTCTAGGGTTTCTTCAGCTGCGCCAATTGTAGCTGACTGCAGCTTGTGGAGCATCAAAAATGCACCCAAAAGGAGTCAGCACATGATCAGGGCTATGCAAGAGGGGTTCAATGTGCTGGGCATAGGTATGCAGTGACTCAGGCTGTCAGCTGTGGTGAAGACTTTTCTCTCCCAATGCAGGTTTTGGATCTGAATGCAAGCCCTGAGCTGTTGTGCCACAACCTTCTCTGTGAGAAGGTATGTCAGGGGAGGAAACCTGATTAATAACCAGCATTCGAAGGCGGAATATGCATGAGAGCCACAAATTCCTGGGAAGTACCAACTGCAAAAAGGTTATTTGAAGGAGGGCAACAAAAGTCTTGAAAGAAGCAAGTTCAGCTCACCACAGTTTGAAGCCAATCTTCCAGGATTCATTTCCAAGAATGAATCCGTTGAACTGGCGCCAGATGTCAAGAATTTTGATTATCCGAGCCCTTGAGGCTTGGAGAGGAAGCTAGAAAGCATCATTGCCCTCGTGCCGTGATTGCAGGTCGGGGATCCCTGCATATGCCGGATCTCTGTTGTCTTGGAAAAGTTGACCAAACTTAGGAGTTTGAACCTGGCGAACAATAGGTGAGGAACTCTCAGGCATGCTGCCAATTCTTACCGATTCAGTTGTGAAACGTAGCGACTGCCTCTGGTTGTGTTCTAACCTTCAAGTCCGGTGGTCTGAGAACTACCTCTCGTAGCCGTCTGTTGTGCCCTTGTCAAGTATAGCTTGACCTTAAACGTTGAAAAGCTCGTTTGTAGAATCTTATCATTCTCATTGGCTAACCTGGAAAGTGTGAGCTTGTTGATCAAGGTCACTTCTATCATTGTAGTAGTGTATCAGCACGCAGTTGAGAGGCGTTTCCCTTGTTTGCAGGTTGGTGTCCTTACCTCCAAGTATCTGGGACCTTGAGACCTTGGAAGAACTGGATCTAAGCGGTGAGCTTCCCGATCGTGCTGGTCCTCTTAGCCAGATTCCACCAGTTTACTCTGCGGTTGGCCATGCTGACGGCTAGTGCTGTAACTTGCCTTTTTCTGAGCATCATATTAGGATCAATTGTGTTGTACCCAAAAGTGGTGATTCCTCAAAATGTTTGTGGAACCCAAGATTTGGTAGTGATGTCCTTTTGTGTGTTCGCAGGCAATCTTCTGGAGGGAGTGCCAGAGGACATTCGGAAGCTCTCAAAGCTCAGGTGAGTTAGCACGCCACTAAGCTGGTGGAAAGCGAAGCCTTTGCACAAGTTTGCTGAACTGGATCATAAGGATGTCCTGGCTCCAGATTGTTGTTGCAGGCAAACTTAGACAATGGAGCCCTGATGACGTGGCCACAGTCGTCTTGGCCACGTTGAAGGAAGGGGTCCCGAGTGCTTCGCTGGCTTTGTCTTCCAAGACACCGGTCATCTACTTCTCATATACGTCGATGAGAAGTAAGGACAACCTGATCTGTGTTCGTGCAGGCGCCTCAATTTGGACAGAAACCCATTACCCGAAGGCAGCCTCCCTACCGGTCTGCCTGGCAACAAGCCTGTCTTTGAGCGCCACTGAGCTCGACTTCATTCGCAAAGCAGCTGAGTCTGGCCTTCGCATTTGAGAAGGGTCTCAAAGTGTTACCAGGACGGCCAATCAAAAGTAGCCGGTTCTCACAGCTGTCACCATGTTCAAAGTGAAGCGGCTCATCCACAAGGCAATTCCGGAGGTAAGCTCGACGACCCCGACTCGCTGTATCTCTTGTTGAGGCTTCCCGAGTCGTAGGAGAACGAGTTCGTGGAGAGAAAAGTGAATCAAGGTTCATCTTCGAAAAGATAACGACCGGCAATTTCTATCTTCCCAATGGAGGGGAGCCAGATAGGCTGTCATGAGAACGCTTCGGACTTGTCTGGCTTCGCATTGGCACACAAACGATCCGTTCCACCGGCCCTGCTTCATCCACTATCCCTTTAGAGCACTTTGGTGTCCGCTTGATATGGTGCACCTCGACGTGACGAAAATACTAAAAGGCGGTCTTGCAAACCGACCCTGATGTTCGATTGCGCTGCTTAGATTCAATTGCTTGGCCGATATCTGCTTCTTGCAGCGCAGCCTTCCCTTGCTCATGTTGCATTTTCCTGCGTACTATATCCAAATTGGCGTCAAGCCCTTGTCTCGATCACATCGGAAACAGCAAAGCTACTTGTCATCGGACATCGCTGAAGCATCAATCCGTGCATTCTTTGACGAACAATTATCCTTGCCAGGTCACCGTGCCGGCGGGGACCCTCCAGCCGTCCGATCTGCAGCCCCGGCTGTCAGTACACTCGGGCATTCCAGCGCAGGCCCAGTTGCTCGCTTATGAGCCGGTGCAACGGCTGCTCGCCGTGGGCTCCAGGTAAGCGTTCGACTGGGCTGTGCGGTTCGTGCTGGTATGTATGGGCTCGATTATGAGCCAGTGCGAAATGGACGAGGCGAATGAGGTTGTAGCCGCTTTTACTGGTTGATATGATCAAGTTAGGCGCTCGTTGGCTTATTTCGACTCGGTCTGAGGCTTCCCTCCTGTGCAGCTGAACTTTGGAGGACCTTTACAGTTTCGAATGTAGAGCAATCCTGCTGCACAAATCTATGGATGCTTTAAAGACCGTGTTCGTGAGATAGCGGAATCTTGCAGCCAGAATGCATAACGGCCTCATTTCAGAAGAGCTGCTTTCTGGAGGCACTGACTCCCTTCTGGGTGCTTTTGCAGCGATGGACGCATCAAGATCTTTGGTGGAGACGGCATCGAGGGCCTCTTACAGTCGCTTACCAAGGCGCCGACCTTGTTCCTACAGGTCTGCATTGCCGCTTTGTATGCTTTTCAAAGCTGAGGAGAATACTTGATTCCCGCTCTCGCTTCAGGTCACGAGTGACCAACTATCCATTTGACCTTTCGTCCAACTTCGTTCCTCGTGTCTCTTGGGTTCGTCGGATATTTCGAGGTGTCGCGCGCTTTCTCCTGGGTTATAGTACTGTGTATCGACATCCTAACAGTTGTGTTTCCCGATTGCGCAGTTTGTCAACAACAAAGGGCGGCTGATCCACGTGACCACCACGAATCAGATCGAGGTGGGTACCAGTCTTTCCAGGTTGCAGCTTGATTCTCAAACAGGCGGCCCAATTTGTAAACCAGATATGAGTCTTTACCTACTGGCCAATAAAGCTGATGTAACCTAGTCTCTGTCATTCGACGCTCTCCCTTCGGAAGGACCGTCGAACGATCTGTTGCCGTGCGGGGGAAGTTGCACGGCTGCCAGTTTGTCTCTTCCGCGCGTCAGGCTGACAACGGCTTTGCCGGAGGAGCGGGCTGCCGGTTTGTCTTGTCCTAACGTCAGGCTGACGACAACTTTGCCGCAGGTTTGGGACCTGGAGGAGCGCAAGCTCGTCGCTTCGTGTACCTGGGACACCGAAGTGGCGGCCATAGCCCAGGTGTCGGGGGCGAACTACATGTGAGCTACTTACGACAGCAAACTTGGTCTGAGCCTTTCAATTTTTTCTGAGTTGACTTACTATTCTACCCCGAGCAACTGTGATCAGAAAGCTTGCAGGTGTTACATTGTTCGAGGAGGGCAACGGGGCGGTACCTTGCCGCACAGGAGTGGGCTTGTGTTCAGACTGTGGACTTCAGGCTTGTTTACGTTCTGCTCATACTCATGTTCGTATCTGAAACTCCAGTTCTTTGAGAGCACAAGTCGTGATTGGGCAGAGAGCGAAGCAGCATACAGCAACTTCAGTCAAGAGTCATGTTTCAGCGGGCGTCTCAGTTTGATCTCTCCGCCGGAGTTTCGGACCTTCGGAAGCCTCACTTGGGAGGAACTGCTGCTCAAGTTCGTCGGTTTTTGTATCCGGGCAGCTATGTCGGCGACGATTCCGGCGTGGTCCGCATCCTCGAGCTGCGGAAGGAGCTGCTCCAGCCGCTGCCCTACTGCATCCCACCGCACGTCACCTTAGGTCAGCCGCCGTTCAATGGCGTAGGACTGCTTTCAACTTAGCAAAATAGACAAGTTTCCAGGTCAAAACGGTCCTACCCTCTGCTGAGGATCGTTGGACATGATTACGCACCGTCGCTTCGATCTCAACTGAACGCTGGTTTTAACAGTGGTTAATTGGAGATGGTCTCTCTTGCCCCCGCTGTTCTTATGGCCGTCCTCGTTTCTTATGAATGCAGCGCTTGTTAGCATCGTAGCCTCTTCACTTTTCGGCAGGCCAGTCACAAGATTAATTCTGAACGTAATTATTTGTCCTCTCTGACAGCGGGCCTGGTCTCCGCCGACAGTGAGACCCCTCCGTCGGTGGTCGCGATCCTACCTCAACCAGACGCGATATTTGGAAGGTACAGCCCACGCCCTGACTTGCGCCTTGTCCGTTCTTTGCGGCAATTGAGCCGACTTGTGGCGACCCAAAAGAGAGAATGCTGGACAACGTGCCTCCTTCTTAAGTAGGCAATTTTCAGCTCCTAAAATGCTTCTTCGAACAGCATCCCGCGAACCTACCCGAGATATCAAGGTAAGGACTTGTCCGTTGCATCCTGCTCGTCGCCTACTCCAGCGCCTGGTCCTGCTGTAGCACATTGAATTCCAGCAGCTTTCTTCCGCAAAATCTGAGCAGTAGGAGTCGAAGCCAGTTCTAATCCGCAAGCTCCTCATTGCCTGATCTCACTGTTCATACGGCCAAGTCGCCTTTGTGCAAGAAAAGAACACCGATTTTACTCCCGCAGGCTGCTCATCGCCTACTCCAACGGCATCCTCGTCCTGTGGGCGCTCCACGAGGGCCGCGTGCTGGCGCTCCGCGGCTGCATCGAGCAGCAAAAGGCGCGCCTGCTCAGCTTCGAAGGGCGGCCCAGCCAAGACGGCGGTGACGAAGACGAGGATGAGGAGACGGGCGAGCAGCTGCGGTGTGTCACGTGGGCGGACGCGGGGGGAGCCCTGCTGGCGGCCGGGTGGGTGCAACGGACACTGCTTTAGGAATTTGACTTTGTGGCTCGATTGTACTAAGGACTGATGCCAAAGTGTCCCACCAATTCTCCTGCGATGTGCGCCTTTCTGCAATGTATGCCTTGGAAGGTGGAGGAACCGTGCGGATGGGTGGGGGCTTGGCGGATTGTGTTCTTGCCAGACCCACAGACAAATCCGGCTACATGTTAGAAGATCTGCTGGAAGACAGATGGTAGGCTCGTTCTAGAGAAGCAATCTACTGTAAACCCGACAAAGACTATTTGTCGCAAAAGCAAAGCTGCATCACTTGCTGAGTAATTGACCCCTGCATGGGCAGCAGATCAATGTAAGCGCTCAATTCTCAACAACGCTCACGTTCAACAAGCGCCACTCAATGCAATCCTTGTTGCCCTCGTATAGGTATGACAACGGCGACATCAAGTTCTGGACGTTTCCAAGCGGCAAGACGGGAAGTGTATCCGAAGCCGAGGGTTTCAAGATTGAGACGGAGCCCGTTCGCCTAGTTCGGCTCGCCCGAGGAAGCTCCCGAGCACCTGTTACTGCCCTGAGGTGGTCTGGCGCCAGCAGCCGAGACGGTGGCCGGTTGTATGTCCTTGGAGGAGGAGCGGGAGGCACGCCGGATCTCGTCAGGGTGAGCCTCATTCCCAGGGTTTTGGCAATGCGACAGCATTCACAAGTTTCGGGACCTGATGCGGACCGAGAGCTTGGATTTCACAGACTGATTGCAATCAACACTTAAGGTTTTTCGGACAGTTTGTGCTTCTCCAAAGCAATACGGAGAAGCAGTGGTTTTCCAATCTTATGCGAAGCAGCTGTAGATTCCAAACAGCAGAAAATCTTTTTGAGTCCCCTCAAGGGCTTTTGTTCCTTGAACTGCCTCGATTTTTTTCTTATATCTTTACCCGCCCCCCTTTTCTCAAATCACTCGCACTTTGCAGGTCGTATCCCTGAGCCCCCCTTTGGACGGTCCGGACCTCCTCCACCGCGACCTTCCCTGGTTCGGACCCGTTTCGGACGCGCTGCTCACCCCTCCCCCGGGCGGCCTCTTCGGCTCCCCCGCCTCCGCCGCAGTCGTCCTCTCGTCCCCGGGGCAGATCCACCTGTACGACGAACCGTCCGTTTCGGACGCTCTCACCCCGGGAGCGTCCGAAGACGCGCTCCCGCCGTTGCCGCAGCCTTTACCGCTCTTCGACCAGCTGACGCCGATAACGGTTTCGGAAACGGTCACCGGGACGGCTGCGTCTGTTGGGCTGTGTACGTTGCTTCAGATGCCGAGGGATGACCGGGGGGCTCAGCTGCCTTCCGGAGGAAAATGGCCGGTGGAAGGAGGGGCGGTCGGTTCGCCACCCTTCCAGGACGACGAACTGTCTACGGTCATCGTGGCCGGGTACGAGTGTGGGCGGGTTGTGTTTTGGGACGCCTGCACGCCAGTGTTGCAGAAAGTTTGCGTGCTTACGGGCAGAGACAAGGTGAGAATCGGGATTTGAGAATTTGGTGTGGACATTCAAGCGTGTTTCAAACTGGTCTTTGAGCTTAGGGCCCTAGTCACATCTTGTGCACCATCTCTTGTCGCAGGTTGCAACTCGAGACTGTTCCAGGACACGCAATGATATCCATTCTGCAAACGGCTTGTGATGAGAGAACTCCTGGTCCTTGGCGCGGCATCGACCGGCCCGCATGGCGAACAAAAGGCATCCCCTGTCAACTGGGATATGCACCTAAGAGAATAGAACCGAAGGCTCGGGGGTCGTCAGGTTGCTTCACATCTATAAACCTGGTCGACTTTGGCGCGCACCTCTTGTATCGAGTTCGCTTCAGATTTGGCCGTTTCGTGCATACAATGCATCAGATCTTTGTTCCCTGCAGGAGAGTGAGAAAGTTCCACCAGTCACGGCGGTCTCCTTCTGCCCCATATCCGGGCTACTCGTTGTCGCTCACCAAGGAGGAAAGGTCAGGCTGTATATACTGGGCACCGAGGATCGAGAGCTGACCCAACACAACATCGACGGAGTTGGCAAGATTGGAAAAGGTAGGAGGACGTGCGTTCCGGCTTCCTCAGGATTCCTCGCTTGGCAACGAAAGCGAACTTGGCAAAAGGACCTTATCTTCGGACGGCTGAGGCCGAACCAGAAGTTGGTCCACCGTACTTCTCAAGGACTTCGTTTTCAGAACGTAGGGGTCAAGAGCTGAAGGTTTCCAATATGCCCGGCGGCGCACAAGCACTGTACTCTGAACCGGGTGTGCTCTCAACAGCACCTTCTGTGCAAAATTTCTTTGACAAGATGCCGGGACAGCTGCCAAAGCGCTCAACGTACGCCTCTCTCAAGAAATGCTTCCGATTTTAGTAAGCGCAGCACCCGCATTGACCTCGTCAAATCCGTGCGAAACGTTTTACAAACTCAATCGCGGCTTTGTTCGATCTTTCCAGATAAAATCCAGGCGAGCCGCGGTTTTCAGTTGGTGTCCACCCTTTTGATGCACGAGGCGTCTGTTCGGAGCATTGCCATCGCCAGCAGCCAAGCCAAGCTGGCTATGGGGGACGACGACGGCAACGTAAGCCGTCACGTTCTTCGAAACAACTCATCAGAAAGATGTTATCGGAATCCCCCCTGCTTCTGTGATCTCTGTATAACCGGTGCAGTTTTATCTCGACCTGCTCCTTCCATTCTGAATGCTTGTGATAGCCTTTGTCTTTGTCAGCATTCAAATATGCTTCCCGTCTTGTCTGCGTTTTGTAGAGGAAGAAGAAAGAATGTACCAGGTCGTCGAGTCGTCACTGTGGTGAATTACGGGCTATTAGTCGCAGGTCCTCCGCAGACTTGTGAAGCGCCGAAGTTACGCAAATGAAGAAACAAAAGACATTGGGGCAGGCTCAAGGGCACTGTCCTTGTAAGGCCGACCTACAGATGCAAGCGTGTCAAACGCTAACACTTGATGTGAAGCGGGCCTTATGGTTTGCTTCAAGTGGGCCTCAAGAATCACGACTGGTTACCTTGGGCCACGGATCATCATCTGTACTTTTTCCAGGTTTCCATCTTTGACCTTGCGAGCGGCACTTTCACCAACCTCGACCGCGCGTTCGACTTCAAGTCCGCCATCGCCTCGCTCGCCTTCTCCACGTTTCCCTCCCCCGCCGACCCTGGTGCGACTTCCTCCAAGAGCCTCGCGTCCTCCCCCCCGAAGCGAACCGCCAGCATTGGGAGCGACGGAAGCGGAGTCGATGACGTCAGCGATGACGTGGCGGTATTGCTGTACGTGGCGGCCGCGACTGCGGCGGTGACGGTACTGGATGCGGGCACGGGGTCGCCGGTTGGGGCGGGGCCGGTGCAGACAAAGAATGCGTCCAAAGCAGTGGAGTTGATCCTGCTTGGTAAGAGGATCTGGGACGCAGATTGGTCTGTTCGGTTTCCCCAATCTGACTCCCTTTTCAGCTTCAAGTAAACTCGGTTAGAGTGCCTGTGCGGAATCGCAGTCCCGTTGGTTACGGGTCTGAAAGAGCGAAATACGTGAGCATAAGCCTGTTGTCTGTTACTCCGCCTTTGCAAAGTCCGCTTGCCCTCACTGGAGACCTTCTTGGGCGTCTCTCGACGGCTGAAGTCATCCGGTGTCCTGCACGGCCGTGCCTCGACGACATCAAGTCGAGATAAGAACTGTTTGAATGGGCTCACACATATTTTGTCCTCCAATCCCTCCTTCCTTCTGCAGATTCCCAAGGCCGCCCCCTCCCCCGCCTTCTCGGTCCCCTCTCCCTCCCATGGGCCTTCGACGGCCCCATCTCCCCCAGACTCCCCCCTCCGCCGCTGCCAAAACTGACCCCCCAAAAGAGCGGCGGGAGCGCAATGGACCGTCTCAAAGCCTTCTACTCGGACGAAGGCCCCGCCAGTCCCAAGGACGGTGGAAAATCCAGCCCGAAAGCGCGGGACGGGAGCCCGAGACGGGGCCTCCGGCGGGAATTTGGGGAGTTTGAGGCACTTTTCGTGTTGTTGGTCGCGGAGGACTGTCTGAGACTGTACACTGCGGCGGCGATCCATGCGGGTGACCGGACGGCGCTCAAGAAGGAGAAGGTGGGGGCACACAGCAGACCGCTCTTCATGTTGAGCACTACAGTAGCAGTTGGGCCTTCTTCTTCTAAGCTACAAGTGCCGAAGTATAACGCAAGAAGCTCGACGAAAAGCATGCATGGACTCGTGTCTTTCGCAGATGCGGCTAGCAGGAATAGCAGGGACCTGTGTGCTCGCACTGATGTATTGAATGCAGACGAGGATGGGTGGATTTAAAGAAAGACTCTGCTAGTGAAAACGAAATGCTGACTGGAATCTTTACGCAGGTTGGGGGTGGCGACTGTGCGTGGGCGGGCGCGGTGGGGTCCGAGGAAGAGAAGATGGGGCCCACGGTGGTGCTCCTCTCGAAGCAGGGGGAGATTCAGATACGGTGAGTAGGGGGCCGAACGAAGTCTGTACCTGCGACGTCCTAGTGGTGGTGAGCTATTGGGACGTACATACCCAATGCTTTTTGGTGCTCGTCTTAAGGGTGTGGACAGTCTGTGGAGTTCAGGAGCTTTCAGAGCCTGTCTTGTCATCCCCCATTTCTATCCGAGGGCGTCGTTGTCCCTCAAGCGCGATCCCACTGTAAATCTTACCCATATTTTCACCCTTCCATCTTTTGCTCGCAGGTCCTTGCCGGATCTGTCTGTGCTCTCAGAAGGGCCCCTCGCCGGCGCCGTTGGGTGGCCGCTCGACGCCCCCGTTCGCAGGTTGAAGGCAGCGTCCGTGGCGCCGGACGGCCGACTCTTCTTACCGGACGCAGTGTCCGAAACGCTCCAGCTGTCGCTGTACAAGAAGGAGAACGCGCTGGGGTAAGGCGGCTCGAGACTTTCTTGTACCTTAGCGCAGCGTTGATAAGAGGGTCTGGCTTCTTGGGTGGCCTTCGATCGAAGGGGAACGCTTCAGATTTGGAAAACGGGTTTCAAGAGTTGACCACACGCCTTCCAGAATGAAGTGCACTTCAAACTTGCAGCTGGCGACCATTTGGAAGTGGCATAAGCCAGAATGGTTGTTTTTCAATGGGACATACACATGTTCGAAAATTCTTGGACAGCCTCTGGCGGAAATGCCTGAATCACAGGCGAAGCACACCGCCCAGCCATACGAGACATGACATCCGTTTTACCTAGCTGGAAGGAAAGGAGTGACGACTATGTTATGATGTTTCAAGATTTGAAGTCTAATGCATATTGCATAATGCACGTTTCCTTGGGAGACAACTTTGCGATAGGAAGTCAGATGTAATCTTCCTTCAGACTGTTTATGTTGCTCCTCATGCACATTCAATTGGATTGCTAGGTGGAAAGTGGTGGCTTTACTCACTTCTCGCCATGCCAGGTTTTCTGAACGCGACACTTACACCTTTCAGATTGCTCAAATCTATGCACGAACCATTGCACAAACGTTTCTCATGCAGACTGCCCGGTTCCCTCCCCCACCTCCACGACCACGTGCTTGCTGCCGCTGCCGATGCTGCGGCGATCGCGAGCCGGGGCGTGGCAGTACCCCCGGTTGCGCAGGAGGCGAAGCCGGCCGCTGCTCCAGAGGACAAGAAGAAGAAGGTAATGCTCGCCATCCACTGAAACAGGCACGGGCGATGATGGGTATATTGGTTCTGAAAGAGGTTGCATTTCCTTGGCAGAAAGAGAGCGTGCATGAACCCGGCAGATCCGGCAGTCTTCACGTCCAAAGTTTAGATTTGTTTCTGCAAAGCATACGTTTTGTTTTCATCAAGCTTTCTCTTCTGGCCGGTCCGCTAGCCCGGTTTTTTGTACTTCCCTTGCTTTCTTGCAACCTCGCAAACCATGCTCAATCTTATTCCTCGAACGTTTTCTTCCTTCGCAAGGAAGTACCACTTCACTTCCCACCTTCTCGACCCCCCTAAACGGTCTCTGTCGTTTCTGCTCCAACAGAACTTCTTCACAACGATGAAGGCGGCGGGGGACAACATCCGGGTTGCTGCTGAGAAAGGCCTGAACGAAGTGAAGAATCTCGCGGAGAACGTGGTCGCCGGAGGTGGCGGCGGAGGCGCACCGATGGGCTTCTTGCAAGGGAAACACTCAGGGACGGTGCTGGCGTCCCACGGAGCGGGTAAGCGTTGCAGATTGAAGGAGAAGTGGCTCGTGGGTTGCAAATCGTGCTGCTGCGTGTGGTCTTTTGATCTGCTGTTTGCTTGTCGCAGAAGGGTTGAGCTGATGTCCCTTTGAAAGTTACAACCTATGCTGATTTTGTTATACATACGCCGCACTTGAAGAGTCCCTCAATTCCTGCATTATAACTTCCTCAATCCAAGACCTAAGGCTGTTGCTTTCGAAAAGGGGCGATTTGTAGAAATAAATACTTACCCGTCAATCCTTGTCTGGGCGACGTTCCAAAATCTTATGTCGAACACCCTACTATTCTCAGAATCAAGATATGAAAAGCTTGAATTGATTGGTTCCTCTCAATGCAGACGAGTTGCCGTCCTTGTTCTCCTCTCGGCCGTTCGTCCCCGCCGCCCGGCGGCTGCCCCAAACTGACGAACTGCGACCGTCCGATTCCTCCAAGAGCCTGGACATCGACGACATTGATCTGGACTCGCCTTCAACGAGGTTCGTTCTCGCTCAGTTTAACATGAACGCATCTCGGCTTTGCTCGTTGTCGCTATACTTTTGTCTATAAAGTGCATGGTGCTCTATTTCTCTCTTTTTGAATGATACAAGGAGGGAGGAATGCGGCTGTTCTTATCGAGGACGCTTCACATACTCGTCAAAACAACGACAAAGGCCCGCCGCATGCCTCTCGAAGAAGTCCTATGGAGCGAATCCCCATAGATATCTGTCCTTGCTGTCTTGCTTGGTCCTGACTGAAAGATTGGTACGTGCGCTTTACACTCTGCATTCCCTTTCAAGTACTTCAACTCAGCTCCCGGTCAAGGTCAAACGGCGGCACATCCTGCTGATTGCCAAGCATGGGTACCGCGCACGCATGCAGCGGGTTCGCCCAACTGCTTCTCTTTCCAAAGCTTCTCTTCTCTGATCCTATAAAAGTTACGCTCTTTCTCCAAGCCCAGAACCCACAGCACTTTCACGTCCCTGACCAAGGTTTACGACGCGCGTCAGCAGCGGTTCTAAATTCTTTCGACGCTTGTCCTCCAGACTACTCGAAAGCCTGACACTTTCAACCCCAAACCCGCAGTACATCGACCCCGTTACGGAGCAAGGTTACGACGCACATCAGCAGCGAGTTCGCCGAACTGTCTTTTATCAGTTCTCCCCACCTGGCTTTCCATCCCGTCAACACCTTGAAATGTGGACACCTGACACTCGCAGTGCATCCTCTTCGTAAGGGCAAAGTCACGACGCTGCTCAGCAGCGGGTTCGCCCAACCGCTTTCCAAGCTTTTTCCGAAGCTTGTCTTCCTGCAACCAACCCAAAAATTGATAATTCCAAGCAGTACATCTACCTTCTAAGGGAGCGAGGTCGTTGCGTGCGTCAGCAGCGGTTTCGTCCGACCGCTTCGATGATTTCGAATCTCGTCGTCCCAAACACTCAAAAATTTGAAAGTCGCCGAATCCTCAACCCGCAGTACATCCACCTCCTTACGGAGCAAGGTCACGGCGCGTCTCAGCAGCGGGTTCGCCCACCTGTTCTCAATAAGTTACCAAAGCTTGTCAAGAAGTCGAAAGTCTAACGTTCTGAATTTTCAAACCCGCAGTACCTCCACCTCCTTACGGAGCAAGGTCACGGCGCGCGTCAGCAGCGGGTTCGCCCGACTGTCTTTTATCCTTTCTATAGCTTGTCTTTTTCGTTACTTGGAGGCCTTTTCATTCAAGTTTGAGGACTCAAAACACGAGTCTTAAACCCGCAGTACAACCACCTCCTTACGGAGCAAGGTCACGGCGCGCGTCAGCAGCGGCTTCGCCAGCATCCGCCGCAAGAGCACCGAAAGCAAGCAAGAAGCGGAGCCCGCTGCCCGGGAAAAGGACGATCGGGCGCGCCTTTTCGAGGGGGCCGCAGAAAGCGGCCCCAAGCAGCGCTCGGCGGCCGAGATCCGGGCGGCGTATGGAAAGACTGGCGCGGCGCATGTGAGGCCTTTGCTCAAGACTTCTAGGAGCCGCGTACGAAGTTGTGCACTTTCATCCGTAGTTCTAACCATCGTTGAGTCGACGAGTGAAAAGACTGGGGCGAGGATCGTCAAGTTCGTTGGATGCTGTGACATCTCATTGCACTTTAGAGAGCACAAACGTGACGGCGGTTTGGCCGTGAGGACTGCCTGATCCTGTGCCGAAAGAGTCAGCGGTTTCTTTGGCAGGTGGCAGGTGGACGGATGTCTTTGTGTTCTGAAGTGCGAAAAATCTATCGGTTCATAGTTGGACAACACGACATTCGTTTTACTTTTCGTGTCCGGCATTAAGATTACTCCTTAATGCGGGCTATGTTTCAAACCTTCCGGCGACGTCATTGACACAGAAGTTGTGAAGTGCCTACACAAGGGAGACGCTCGATCGTCAACGTCACCATGCGGACCGTCCTTTTACCCCCAATTTGAATTGACTTGGTTTGATTCCACACAGAAGATTCTAATTTCTAGGGTCTAAAACATTCCTCTTTTGGTGCAGGCGTCGGCAGCACAGGCGAGAGACAAACTGCTGGAGCGGCAAGAGAAGCTGCAGGTGAGACTACGCCCTTACTGGTTTCACCTCTCCACTCATTTCGCAGCAGCCGCAAGGATTTAAATGTTGTCATTCACAAATACAGCCTGCCCGAGTTGACGTAGGGGCAAGGAAGCTCCCGTTGCTTTTCGGCCCAAGGGTTTGGGGACACAAAGCAGGGACCAACGCAAGCAGCGTCAAGACTGGTTTTGCGACTGCCGTTTAGGGCGGTCAACAGTATGACCACCACCCATACTTGCTGGCTCCTGCGAGTCGTTCTCTTATAGTGAATGTGCTTCTTTCCGAAGATGACAAGTCTGGCTTACCTGTCATTTCGGTTGCACAGTAGTGTCTCTTGGTCTAGCCAAGAGAGGCATTACCGTCTTTTGTCTACAGGAATAATTGAACTTATTGTGTCACTGACATCTCATTGCAGGGGCTTGACAGAAAAACGGCCGAAATGCAAGACGGCGCAGCAAACTTTGCTTCCATGGCGGCCGAGTTAGAAAAGAAGATGGCAGGGAAGAAGTGGTGGCAAATGTAATGATCTGTTTAGTTGCATACTGCGTTTCATGTCCCTGCTAGGACACAGATAGAGCAGCATATCAGGGACTGAAGCTGCTCTGACTTCCTTTCTTTCTACATATAAAAGTGCAGCTAACACACTGGATTGATACTGTTCGTACTGAGCAGCCGGAGTCAAGCAAGTCGGACCTTCCGAGGCGCAAAGCACCGCTTTATTAGCTTCCACTGAGTTACACGGATTTAGAGAGTATTGTAAACCTCGAAATCTTTACGCAAAGATCGACGCCCATATTCCGATTTGAATTGCGGGCAATCAAGCAGATGTGTCCTTAAGCTGCGCAGCCAGCCTGCCAGTGTGCAGACTTCATGCAGAAGCTGTACCTGGATTCGGTCCAATTTTCACTGCTTAAGCAATTACCATCGCTGCATGTTACCAAAATTGCGCCTCGCATGTCAGTTTTCTTGTGTCAAGTATTGTGACCGTCTTGTTTCTCTGAAACTTTTGAAGCCCGATATGTCATGCATGAGCGGTTTAATATATTCAATCCAGTGGACTTAATCAGTGTGTGTTGTACTGCCGCCGTCGAATATATGTTTTGTACCATCCGCAAACTAATTGGCTGTCAGGACGACATGATGGTGGTGAGCATGCCAGATGTGAGATACCAACATTGGATGTCAAAGGCACTCCCGCCAATTTTCATATGATGAACAGATGATGAAGCTAAGCTGAGCGCTCGATCGATCCCGTTATACTAGCTAGGCAGCCATTGCTTTCACTGGCAGGGTTTGGCAAGGTTTTGATCATGCAGCGGGCGGCCACTCGGGCGCGCGGCCGGCGGCCGCGGCCCACACTGGCGGCCACGCGTGGCGGCCGGCTGTCCGATCACGCCATCACGCGGGTCAAGTCTCTCAGTCTCTCATGTAAGCGTCTGCTCAGTATGCCAGTCTGCTGTTTGCCGGTCCTACTACCTGTACTACTGGGAATCAAGGCACCTCAAGAAACGAGGTAATCTACCTTACCGTTCCACCTTGTTTCTTTCCTAAGTATACTTGTGTAATTGAAGTCGCCCCCCGTTTAGCGGGCGTTTATAGCATTTAGGCTTATTTTCTCTGGGAGTCGCAGCAGGGCTTTGACTGAGTGCCTTCCTCAGCGCCCACGCGCATCAGAGCTGGAACGTCCCTTCTTCGAACACTGCTGGGCGGCTCTGGCATCTCCGCCGCACGCTTCGGGCCCCTCTTCCGGGCCTAGCAAACACTAGTGCAGTGGTCCCCCTCGCGGCGGCGGAGTCGGAGCTCGTGCGCCACTGATACGACGTTCCTAAGTACGCCGTTCTAGTTCTTGCGGAGGTGTCGGCTGAAGCTACTTGTACACATCTCCAACTTCTCAACTTCGCCTGCTTGGGACTGTCGGAGTACCGGCATGGCGATTCGGAGCACATCACCCGCCTTGGTGGTATGGGCGATCATTGCCGGCGCTGCTTTTGTTCCAAACCTGGAAGCGGCTACCATAACCTTTCAGATAGTTGAGGATGTTGGGGGCACAAACAGCCTGAACAAACGTCACTGAAGGCCTTCTTGGCGGCCGAGAACCCCGAGCGTGCTGGAAAGGAACAGGAGCATTCAGGGGGTGACTGTGCAAGTGGACGGGACAACAAAACCTGCCTGATCCCAAACACCTGAACGCGTTCCTCGCAGAAGATATGAGTTTGCTGAACCCCTTGCTTCCGTCGCACCCCCCTCTCCAGCTGCAAAAGTGCAAACGGGAGCCTGTACCAAACGTCACCTTTCGACTACTACGTCATCTAGCACAGCGGGGGGTGTGAATACGCACCGCGCATGGCCAGGGACCAAAACGCAGCGGAAGAAACGAGAATCGACGAAAGAAAGGTTTGCAGATCCCTTGTGGTACTGGCGGCGCTGCTTGTGCTCTGGTTGATCGGCTACTGCGTGCTAGGCGAGTCCTTACAGAAGATTTTCGGAGAAAGTGGGACGGCATTGGCGGAGGTGCCATCCGTTTTTACCCGTGATTCCAACAAACCAGACCAGAATGTCGCATGGTTGGGGGCCTCATTCCTTGCCTTTTACGGGGCTTGCTTGTGTACTTCATCAGATTCGGGCAAAAGTTCTCCGTCATGGTTTCTCTTCCAGACCCGGCCCCTCTGAACGACGTCTTCGCTTCCAGCCCGGCATAACGTGACCCTATATCTCTGCACGGTCGGAGACCTTTTTCAGGTCTACCTGGGTTTTGCGGACAGCTGTTTCCAAGCGCCGGGCTTCATCTTTCCGGAGGCACTTCCACCTGCGTCCGATCAGTATGATCATGGAGCAAGACTCACCCTTTGCATCGCCCTCGTCGTATTGGTCTCGTTCTCTGCCTGGACCTTTATAGCGATCGGGGTGCTCTACTGGGTCTGCACGTACTTGTGGTCGGAAATCGAGAAGGTCGTACCACCAGTTGCGAAGAAAAAAGTGTACAGTGCGTCGAACTGCAAGCCCCCGCAGGATCTGCCGTTTAAGGAAGACTTGAAAGCGTCTTGACAACATCAGACTCATTGGTTTTCTGTAGGATTGCTCGACATGCGGCCTTACTCCGATCTTCAATTTCTTGTAGGTAGTCTCTTAAGGATTTGACGCAAGTAAGCCCCTTTCTATTTTGATTCTGTTCACCCTGTCCTGGGCAACACTTGCGTTCTCCGCATGAGCTTGCATGTGAGATTGTTTCTTGCATCCAGTTGACGTATATTCAAAGAGCTTTTCTGTACGTATTAGTTGTAAGCAAAAGACGTCATGGGCCAGCTGTCCCTCGAAAAGGCGGCAGCCGTTTGCAATCGTCGACGCGTTCACTCGAGAGTTGTGTCTTACATATGTCACACTAATGATGCATGTTAAAGTGGGCGTAGGACACGCGTGTCCACCCCGGTCGGACGGTCAAATCGCGCGCGATGGTGAGATTGCAGATGACATCGAACGGCAGAGAAGTCATTTCAGCAGAGAGGGTACGGACCTGTTAAGAACCAGCCAGGATGCGGTACCCACCGAAGTCAGGCCTTCAGACAGGGACCGGATGCTGTCCGGAGGTCTGGTACCGAAGTGTACCGCGGTCCCTAGGGGTCTACGTCACCGTACGTCAGCTGCGGAAGGCCGCAAAAAGGAAGAGGCAAAAGCGAGCAAAAATGTCAAAAGTTGTCGAATCGAACCCAGAACCGCCCGGAACCAAGGATCTCAAGGCGAGCGCGCTTGCCAATCCGGTCAACTTGCAAGAAGTCCCAAAGCCAGATGTCAAAATTGGTCCCGGAAATTCGGTCTTATACCCCGACGCCCACTTTAAAGGGACAGCAAATTGTCAACCCGGCGCCGCGCGTGCCATATGCAGTACACACGTGTTAAGATGGAACTATATAGTCTTCAATCGCCACGTATGCATTCGATCACTCCTTCAATGATATACGGTTGCAGGCCCTCAATCATATGGACGACGGTGAATTTGCCCGCGGCGGTTTGTTAGCATGAATCAAGCCATGAGCATTGCAATGTGCACATGCAGTCGCATGATAAGTTTTGAATGGAAATTGCCAAAAGAGCACGCGTCTGTTTCTCGAGCCTTGAGCACATGAACCTCCATTCTGTAGACGTACATGCATCAGTACAATCGTTTCCAAGCCTGCAGTTTCGAGCATTTACATGGCACAGGCAGTGAACAACGTGCACAACATATCTTACCGTTGTGCAGCTGCAGCTGCAGCTGAGCTAGCTAGACGGTAACGTCTACCAAGAAACATGCGACTTGCAATGCCTAACTATGACCGTCCTTGTTGCAGATCAAACTTTTCGGACTCCAAAGCCAACAAGCCAAGTATTGGCAAGAGCGGAGCTTGATCGATGCGAAAGACTTGAGGGCTTTGGCCCTCAGATTTTGCAATCCCTACGACTCATCCACAATTCACGAGTCTTTATTCGCTACTGAGTTTGTCATCTCGATACTACACCTAAGCGTCTATCTAATCGTGCTCCTCCTACCCGCTGCACTTTTACTACATGCGCAAAGGTAGGAGGGCTGAGAGAAACTAATCTACTGATCAAAGTTCAGAATCAATCAGAATCAGAATGTGAACAAGTTCACGTGCATTTGAGCTCTGTCTGGCCCCGCTCTTGCCAACGAGCTCTCCTGTTGGAAGACCAATCGTTTACAAAGAGCCCACATCCATCAGAGACTACGGCGTGCAGCCCCCATCAAAAAGCACACGGTGACCCCCCAAACAGCTTATCCTTGTCCTGCACCCGATTTCTACGGATTATTAGGCCGCTCCACTGCTGAAGAGCGAAACTTCCCAGGGCCCTCCGCCATCCAACAATCCGTCAACACAACACAAACGTAGCCGAGTTTCGGAGCATGGCTTAGTTGCTCTTGACCACCTCCACGGCGTCATCCGAATCGGTGCTGGCTTCATTGTCCTTGACAACGATTTTAGTGGCAGCCTCGGCTTGGGCCTTCTTTAGCTTCCGGTACCCGACATCCGTTCCAAATAGACTGCACATACGGGGAGCAACGTGTCAACATCTAATCCACAACAAGTGCGCAAAACAATGTGGGTGCAGTCGTTGGCAAACGCACGAACCTTGTTTGGGAACTGAAACAAGGAGCAGTGACTAAGCACTGGGCTCGCATCTTCTCAGAAGGTACAGACACTGCGCCTGAACTTCACTAAAGCCCTTCATTCTTTGACAGCGAGAACAACAGCCGGACGCCAAGTCAGGCAGGGCAGTTAAAAGAAGGGGTCCCTTCCTTTCCATTGGCCACCGACTAGTCAAAACTTTTTACGAACAACGAGTGCCCTGAGTTCTTGTTGACTACTTGTCTTGTGATAGTGCGACCTTAAAGACCTATCCAACCGGCGAAGCAGTCTAAGACGAAAACCGACAGACAACAATCTGCCCATACTGGCGTTGATCCGTACTCTCAAGATATATCTGTTCGACCAGAAACGTCCTGATCGTTCCCGAAGAGCGTTTGATTCACCGACTAACTGAACAACTTATTTGGAAGTCCAGATTGACGCTACTCAACTTAGGCTCCCGCATGGACCCTAGAAAAGGGCGACCGGAAGAAGTCTCAGTGAGTCAAATCAAGGTCAGTGAAGCCTTGACCGTCCTTCCAAGTCCACCTCCATCACCGCGCACGGCGAGGCCCAAAAACGATCGCTGACAAAGGACATATCCGCAAAAACTAGAGCAGCCCTTGCAAAAACAGCGGACATTACTACTCGAACCAACAGGGAGTGTAATGACTAACAATCCTGAAGCACAGGCAACCCCCCGAGTTCAAAAAATATCAAACTGCCCCATCGAAAGGCTTGACTAACAACGCTGTGAAAACCTCTGGCAACATGCATGTCAATCTTAGAAAGGCAGTATCAGACGTCCCCACGGTGCCCCCTCCCTTGCTGGAGGGAAAAAGCGGCACTCACTGGTCCATGTAGGTGAAGGTGGACGAGTAGTTCCCGCTCTTGGTGTACAGGCAGCGGTGATGGTAATCGTGGAAGTCGGCGCCCCCGTAGATCGGGAAGAACTTGGAGGGGCTCCACGGGAACTCGTACCCGCAGTGCGCCTCCACCGTCTCCAGCACGCGCACGCTCATCCAGAGCCAGAGGGTCAGCAGGTGGGGGCCGGTGAGCGCGGGGCCCGCGATCGTGGCGAAACCCAGGAAGAGGATCTCCAGCGGGTGGGCGTACTCGGAAGTCAGGCCGAAGGGGGTGGCATATCTGGGGAGGGAAGATTTAAGCATTCGATACAAGCCAATAATGGACTAATGGACTTGGGCCAGGCCCGAGCAGGGAAGGCTGATTTCTCTTACTCCCTGCTCTTCTCTGACGAGAAATAGAAACGGTTCAGGGGACAAAGGAGCTTGCAGTCGATGAAGGACTTGGGAAGACCAAGTTCGACTTGATCTAACCTTGCGCTCACTTACCTGCACGAAGGTGGTGGCATGCTTTGTGAGGAGAAGTTTCCGGAATTTTCGCAACATCAGAGCACGAGGGGAGCACTTGCTGATTGTCCGAGTCTTTTCATTTGAGCACTCGCTTGAGTGGACTTAAAGAACATGGAAGGTCTTGGTCTTGAACGTGATTTAACTTTCAGGCGGAAGGATGACAGCAGGCAACTTCCGCACAATGATCAACGCCATGAAAACATACATGTCTCTGCTCCAACCCCCTTCCGTCCTCCTCCTGATGAATGCTGTCACTTACAAATCAACATGGGCAAAGTGCTTGTTTGGTGCAAGCAACTTTTGGGTGGTGAGACGACAGTGGCTCGATTCAACCATGTGCCCCGAACGTTCAGACGGGGAAGGAGGACCAGAAGACTAAAGAAGACAGTGAAAGCGTCTGAAAGAGCTGCTGTCCAACCAGAGCAGAAAACAATGATTTCAAGAGAAAACGGGTCTAACCAAAAGACCTTCCTTCTGTGTCGCTTCTTGTCGCATGAGCTCCGCGTGCTTACCAAAAAACCTGGGAGATTTCTCGTGCACAAGCGGAGGGCCTCGATCCTATAATTCTCCTCCAGCAAGGACTCAGCCTTGGCGCAAACTTCCTTGACGGGCTTTTCAGTGCACAAGCGGCAGATCAGATGGACTCACTCGTGGTGCACAGAGTGTATGTACTTGTAGAGGAGCTTTGTGTGCAGGAGCCGGTGGCCCCAATAGAAGATGAAGTCCTCAATGATGAAGTACAAGAACAGCTGGCCCCCGATCGTTTTCCTGCAAACAAGGGACTCTTGTTTGAAATAGAAAACATTTGGAAGATTGACAGGCGCTGTAGAAAGCAGAGGATGTTCAGTGAGGACACCAAAACCCTGAACGTGCCCGACGCTTCCCAACTCTCACCTGAATTGAGACTTAGCTCAGCATGCGACTGCCGAACAAGATGATATTGGTGTGCTTGAGGTGGTCATACTTTGGCGCAACTGAATTGATCCACATTCTGACATGGTGATGAAGCCAATTTCTGGGAGGCAATGACAGCTGAACCGATCAGAATTTTCACACTGTGGCCCTTGACTGTTATAGATCTTGAGATGACAAACCTTGGGCATCACCAAGCACCAATACAGATGTCGATTCCAAGGAAGGCCTAAGAAAAGAGCTCTGCGTTGATTGGTTCGATAAACAAAAGCGAAGGAAAAATGTGTATCAAGGTGTCAGATGCATACCAGGAAGGGAGCGGCAGCGCGGTGGTAAAGCCCATGTACTTGAAGACAGGATACGAGAGCATCATGACTGGCAGGTTGACGCAAAAGTGGTAGAACATCAGCTTCTTCAAGCACTTCTGCTGCGCCGCCGACGTGTTCACCTTTTTCTGTTCACAAGCAAGCAAAGCGTCAAAAGAAGATTTTAAATGTTCGATGTCTGCACGGAAACTGGCTGCAGGTACAAGGAGGTGATGAGTTCAAAGTGAGGCAAAGGGAGCTAGTTAGCGAGAACCAAAAGGTTGCTTTCACTGAAAATACGTAACGCACAGCTGAAAGAGGTGACAAGTGCAGCGTATACCACCGAGAAGTAATATTGGCCATCGTGAAAATGGTCACCTGGAAACAGTGTCTACCAATTAAGCACTGGCTTTTTGTCAGCGCCTTAGCCCCTTATCAAAGCCAGAAGCTGGGGCACACCTCAGTGGACAACCAAATTCAATTTTTCAGCAGCGCAATGAGAGCTGCCTAACCACGCTAGAGTTGATTGACCAGGAATTGAATCTTCTAATTCCATTCATTTCTGGAACAGGTTGAATAGTCAAGGACATCAGCTTCAAGGGAACCTGTCAATAGCGTAGAACAACAAATGACAAGCATTGACCCGGTCCAATTTGGCAAAGAACCAGAGAGGACCAGTAAATGAGCTAGTGGCACAGGGCTAAGCCGCTTCTTTGCAAAAGTAAGAAATCATTACTTATGGAAAAACCTCAAAATGACAGGAGGATCCAGATGGCAACCAACAGTGCAAGTTGTAGCAAGAGCTGGATGAAGCAACTTTCCATTCCAGGTTCCTCAAAGGAGCTTGACAGACAAAAATGATAAGCAGTTGCGAAGGATACAATCTTGCAAACGACAACCATCAAGTGGTCGAGCACCTGTTGTGTTGTCACCATCGTAATTCTCTGGAAGCTCCTCCAGCATCAGATTGCGAAATATGGCGTGCAGAGCAGACAGATGTTGACATGTAGGTTCCATTCTCAGGTCTGCACCGATTCAAATGAACTTCAAGTAGAACCAGCATTCCAATTACGACATCACCATGACCCCGTGCAAACCGCGACTGACCTGTATTTTGTATTTGCGTATGTTGTACATCTCCATAAGCAGGAACGGAATGCCCGAAAGGAAGTACACACTCTCATGGATGAGAAAACTTCCAATCGAGGCCAGCTGAAACTCGGTGAAGTTGTCCGTCAGCATCAGCCATGCGCTCTCGAAAGCATTCTGAGGCTGAGCCATCTGGCCCCCTTCCAATCCCTCACTCCCCTGTCAGCCCCCAACCACTTATCGCCGCCAATTGACGAGCTCCTTGGTAGAGAAAGAGGCTGTCTTCAGGAAAATGGACCAGCGTACTTTGCCAAGAAAAAGTCTTGGTCAATCTGGTCCTACGTACTTCAAGCAGCTGGGTTGCAAAACCGCTGCACCTAATGTCTGAGCAATCTTTTGCACCTTCAGCTACAACAGACACTCCCCTGGTCTGCAAATCCAGGTGGCACTTCAGATGCTCTCTACAGATCTGCGCCTCAGCTGAAAGCGTTACTCTTAGATCTAGGGCAAGAACCGCTTAAAAGAAGCAGAGTGATCTGGCCCCGCCAAAGCCCAACTCGCCTTGATACTTGAAACGAGAGGCACCTAGCAATGCATGCAAACCCGCAAATATTCCACAATTCAGAAACGTTATAACCAACGTTCACAGGGCTTGCTTTTCCTTTCCTCCTGATCTTTTGCAACAGACTCTTCTCAAGCGCCCCTGAATTCTCCTGACGCCATCAGCTTTCTCCTCCGCAGATCGAACAAGCACTGCAGCAGGCTGGCACGAGCTGTGCGCACGCTAGCCGAGTCTGCAACCTCTGAAGAGTTTATCAGGGTTTTGTCTTCTGATGCATTTTACCGTGTATCCACATGGCACATCTTTGGCCGTCGATATGCTGGTTTCGCGGCTAGGATCAGCTTTACGTTCGCCTCTTGGCGCCGGCGTCGAAGACCCCTGTTTAACATGATGCTTTCTAACGCGAGGTTTGTCCGGATTCAACTTCCTCTCTCCAGCGCCATTTCTCCAGACTTCCGAGAGGACGCAGCCATCTGCAGCTCTGCTCAAGCAGCTCAGAATGATCGAACCTGCTGAAGAACGCTATTAGTATTATACACTAGACAATTGGGGATCTGAGCACAGCCCCCAGACGCTTGCATTGATACCCAGGAGAAGCTGAGCCAATCTCAATCTATGCAATGGCCTACTATGTGGGCGTCGATGTGGGTACCGGCAGTGCAAGAGCTGGTGAGTTTGGGACTTCTTTTTGAGGAGCTGAAGAAGTCCAAGATGGCCCCTTGGTTTCAGCTATCGGAGCTTGCTGTCACGGCAGCAGAACACCTGAGCATTTTGAATATTAGGGTTTGGTTCTACATTGTGGATAAAGACATTTGAAAGTACTGCAATGCTGTACGATGTGGCATCTCCCTGAATTTCACTCTGAGACCAATGGTTGTTGTGCAAGAGGGTTTGGGCCTTAACCTGTTGCTGACTTGCACTCGTTTCAAAGGGCGTTTCAGAGCAGCCTTACAATGACATGTCTCCTGCAGGTGTCTTCAGCCAAGAAGGCAGGATGGTTGGGACTTCATCCAAGGAGATTGCAATTTGGAAGGAGGGCGACTTCGCTGAGGTACGTCTTCTTTTCAAAGATGCACAGTGCAATTGGGTTAGACTGCATTGGACTTAACATGCCAGACGCAAGACCTGTAGAAGCAATCTTCCAGGAATGAAGTGGACCAGAAGGGTACTCTGTGGCAGGATAGCGGTGTTGGACTTCGCTGGCAATTCCAAGCAGATTGCACTAAGACTTTCGCTAGGAGTGGGAAGTTCACAAAGCAGTAATACTCGGGTCAAAACAAATGCCCCAATTGTTCTGGGTTCTTCTGCTCAAAGCCTTCTGACAATCTGTTGTCGGTCTCTGCTCGACACAAGGATCTGGCCCATGTTTATCTCCTGTTTGTCTGCTTTGTATCCAATGCAGCAATCCTCCGCCAACATTTGGGACTCTGTATGCTCGGCCGTCAAGAGTGCCGTGAGGGAGGCGGGGGTTGATGCTGCAAGCGTCAAGGGACTGGGGTTTGATGCAACCTGCTCTTTGGGTGAGACTTTCGAAAATTCTCACCCATTGTCTTTTCAACTCCCTGATTGAGTTATACTTAACAAGTTGAAGGTGGGCCAGATCTGCCCTGCATATCTTCTACCGCAATCTTGCGCTGCCAGGCTGCTCTTTATTCCGCCCCCAGCTGCAAGAAAGGCCATCACCATGCGATCAAGGCCTCAATGTCGATGGCCGTCGCAGTTCGAACATGGTTGTCAGAAACGATGACAATCCTATCTGATGGTCCGGGCAAACTCAACCTCTTGCCTCGGGGGAAACTGTCAGTCCACACTCCTCTCTGAACTTACGTAGAGTCTCTTGGAAATTCCAATTTCTCAGAGGCACTCCTCTTTGAGGAATTTGTCCGTCTCTCTATGAAACAACTGCCATCGGGGACTCCTCAAGCATGCAAACCTGCATACTTCCTTCATACCTTGCAGTTGCCGTTGGAGAATTAGATGCGCCCGTGTCTGTGTCTCGTTCCGGGGATGACGCCCGTGACATCATTGTCTGGCTGGACCACCGCGCTGTAGACCAGGCACAGCGAATCAACAAGAAGTTCGACGGTCAGGAGGCGCTGCGGTACGTTGGGGGGCATATCTCACCAGAGAACGAACCACCCAAGGTATCAGATTATCAAGAATTGGCAGCTTACTTACAGAACCTGCTTGTGTGTTGAGTAGTCTGGAAAGTGAGCTTAGAATCAGCTTCGCTCCTTTCTTTTTAGACATCAATGAAATGTTGCTGGCAAGTATGTAAGACGTGAAAGAAGCTTTTGTCAATTCTAGTTCATAGTTCTTTCGCCCCTGTCCTGCAGCTTTATTTCTCTGCAGCAAGCTAATCTGTTCAGGCAAGATTCACATGTCATCCTCTCTGCGTGTGGCTGGCTGACTCTACGACGATGTTGTCAGGTCTTGCAAGCATGGAGTTGGCTTGAAGAAGGACCGAGTTCCCCCTTCTCAAGAAGCTCGACCATTTTTTTGACGCTGAAATGTATTTAGAACGCAACCGCTGAATCAAATGCATGTTATCTATACAAGTGGTCTGGTTGGCCTGACAAACTTCCATCAATTGTGCAGCTCATGTGGGTGAAGGAGAAGCTACCGGAATCCTGGGCTAGGGCGAAGGGCTGGTTTGACTTGGCGGATTGGCTGTCTTACAAGTGAGTCTGTCATGTGGTTGCGTGGCTTCTCCTCATAACCTGTGCTTTTGATCAAGGTCGCTGTGTGTCACAACAACCACTTGCAAGAGTTGTGCCGATGGAAGAAGCTCGTAGAGATTCATTGATGTCGCTCGCTGCACGAAGCTTTTCAGGTCGCTTTGGAATTGTTGCCTGACCACTTGGCAGCCAGCAAATGCTACGGCACAAACAGCTGGGTCCAAAAATGCGCCTACATACTGAAACGAGCTCTGTCATAGTCGCACGAACCCTCTTCCTACTTGAAGAATTCGACACTCCTTGAGCAACTAGCAACTCCGACATTCATGGGAGTCTTTTCGAAGTAGTCAGGGACGTCCACAGCCTATGCTGATACACGAATCTGCAACAAGAGGACGGCCAGAACGCAAGGTGACAATCGATCTCCTAAGCTGTGGCTGCCTTGTCAAAGGCTGTCTTGTAAGGTCGTCGATCCAGCTAACACAGAGAGGGGCGATCAAAAACACGAAACCCGGTCTGAGAAACTCTTGGGAACGAAATGATAGCGTCTGTATGCAGGTCGACTGGAGACGACACCCGCAGCCTGTGCACCATCGTCTGCAAATGGACATACCGGGGTCATGCCCACGTTGGCGCAAGCGAGCGGGAAGGGCCGATGCCGGCGGCTGGGTGGGACAAAGACTTCTGGCGGGGCATTGGGCTGGGGGATGTTGTGGAAGAGGATTTCAAACGGTTTGGTAAGACGCGGATTTTCGACGGGTCATAAGACGAACAGGCAAAGGATTGTTAAGAACTCCTTTTTGCAGTATTCTTTTCTATTTGAAGGTAGCCTTTCCTTAGTGGTGATGCCGTCCGACGCGAATCGCGCGCGCTTTCCAGGAGGAACAGGAACAGGAGGAGGAACGGAAAAAGCTTGAATCGAGGCTGCTGGCAAAACTTGGGAGTTTCTTCTGACTAATACAACAGCGCTTGTACTCTTGCAAACAATTTGGGGACGTCAATTACCTGACTTTTTGTCATCGTTTGTTGCTGTGAGTGGGTTGCTTTGAACGGGATGGGGAATAAGTAGAACGACGGTCGACCCCGTCACTCCTGCTGTTGCTGAATCGCTGCTGATCGTGTGGCTTGCAAAATGTCGACCACAGCTTGCCAATTGAGTCACCCGCTGGTCTAATTACTGTAGACCAATCGTACAGCTTTTCGTGCCACGTGCAGGGGCACGGGTCGCTTTCCCGGGGTATCCTCTGGGAGGGGGTCTCACGAAGCAGGCGGCTGAGGTGAGGAAAGAACAGTATCCAATAAGCAGATTGCTATTTGTCAACCACCGAAAGGAGTAGTCCGGGCTTTTATTGGTGTTTTGTAGCTGCTTCACTTGACTTCTCAACAAAGCCATTAGGGAACACCTGATATGTGCACACCTTCGAGGCCCGGGCAAAGACATCTCTTGCTCAGCACCGAGCCCTCCGGTCGAGTTGGAGTCCCGCATAGGACTTTGAAATGTCAGCAAGTTTTTAAAATTTTGAGTAGAGATCTGAACAAGAGATCGGACTCGGACACTTACTCGTGAAAGTGTCTCTGTTTATTTTATACAGGACCTCGGCCTTCCTGAGGGCACCCCAGTCGGCGCTGGGCTCATTGATGCGCATGCAGGCGGGGTGGGCACCATGGCCGGCGTCCCAGCTGACGTCAGCAGCAGCGACGACGTCAGCGCAGCGTCGGTGTTTGCACGGCGGCTGGCCCTGGTGTGCGGCACGTCCAGCTGCCACATGGCAGTGTCCGATGGGTCACTGTTCGTGCCAGGAGTGTGGGGGCCGTTCTGGTCAGGTGCGATATGTCAAAAAGTAGTTTTATTGTTCCTTGTGGGAAAGTTCGAAGGCAGGTGTACTTCGCAAGGAGCCTCCTTGGGTCTGCGCCCGTTTTGGTCGAAGGACCTCTTTGAGTCTGGGCCCGTTTTGGTCATTGTTCGACTGGGTTCAGGTTGGATTACAAGTATCCGTCAGGCGAAACCCAGATTGACCTTCCAACGAATGAAGGTAGGAGTCTGGAAATATTTTGTTCTCTCCCTTGAGCTAAACTGATGGATGCTGAAAGCATGGATTGCTGAGTCCGAGTTCATATTTGAACGCCCACTACTGTATCCGGCCTAGACTTCTGCCCAGCCCACATCCTCCTTTCTTGCCCCAAATTCGAGTCGTTTCCTCGCGGGCATGGCTCATGGCTCTCGCGCCCCCGTCTCAGCCTTTGAGACTTCTTAAGAGCAAAACCGAGTCGTTTCTGCGGAGGCATAATCCCCGAGCTGTGTCCCCCGGCCGCTCTTGTCATCATTTAGGCTTTCCTTTCATTAATCTGAGATGTTTCGTCACAGGCATGATTTCAAGCCCTGTCCTCTGTTCGCTCTTGTCAACCTTCTGAACTCTTCTTACACCGAATCTGAGTCGTTTCCTCAAAGGCCTGGTCCCCGGGCTCTGGACCCCGGCCGCTCTGATCACTTATTGAGACTCTTCTTGCACTTACTTGAGTCGTCTCCTCGTCAAAGCATGATTTCAGGCCCTGTTTTCCGGCCACTCTCGTCACATTTTGAGACTTTGCTTACACACTTTTTCTGCGCAGGCATGATCCCCGGGCTGTGGCTTACGGAAGGGGGCCAGAGTGCAACGGGCGCCCTTCTCGACCACATCTTTGAGGGCCACTCCGCTTATCAAGCCCTGAGCGAGCGAGCGAAAGAAGCAGGTAAGCGGCGAGTCCCTTTTTTCCGCTTGTTTTGAGAGCCTCTGTCAGACAACGTAGTCGACAACAAACCGGCAAAACATGTCCTCTAAGAGGGTCCGATGCTTGAGCGGTTGATCCGTTTGTGGATTCTGCAGTACTTCAATAAATGGGAGTTCTAGGAAGTTTTAAGATCACTCTATCATAAAAGATCGCTGCAGACCTTTTGACCATCTTTTTGACAATCGGGTGGCGCATCACTTCTCTAAGGAACAGCCAAAGAGCATTGCGTGGGCGGATTTCGATAGACCGAAGTCGTAAAGCTGTTATCACACTACAATAGTCACCGTCAGAGCGCTTGCTCAAGATGCTTTTGACAGTGCGGTTCGAGGAAAAGTCGGGCTCTTTCAGAGGCTGAATGTTTACCATTTTGCCATCCAACGGTAAACGCAGGCAAATTTAGGTAACAAGCCTTGTCCTTATCATCACAGATATTGACTCGCGCTCAAATACTTCCCTTTGAAGGGCACAAGACTCTCTCCACCAACGGCCTAACCAGTGTTCTGTTCCTGACCTCCAGACTTCGTAGCTTTTATTTCGCGGTCTTTCAGAGTTCAACTACGTACCATTCTCTTCATCGATGGTAAACCTTTGCACTAAGCCCTGTCCCTTTCACCATAACGATCGACCCTTGCTCAGATGCTTTTCTTTGCGAGCAGAACTCTCTCTGCGGACGTACTAAGCAGTATCTGATTCCGACATCTGCCCCTAGTGGTCTTCTGATTTTGCAGTCAGGCTGACCTCTTCATCAAACCTCGCAGGGTGTAAAGTAACCGAGTTGCTGAACCGAAGGTTAGAGGAGATGGCTGCGAAAGAGGGGGCTCCGTTCCTGGCAGCTCTGACGCGAGATCTTCACGTGCTTCCAGACTGGCACGGGAACAGGTAGGCCGGTTTATTCGTACAGTCTGGTTGGTTCCTCCCGGAGACTCGTGGAGGCAACTTTCTAGCTACGGCTTTTCAATACTTGCCCTTAGGTACGATTGATTCACACTTAATTTGTCTTGATCGCAGTTCCTGCCTGCCCCGAAATGACAGTGAGCTGAGCTTCAATCAGATCGCGCGCCGTGCTCCTTGAGTTCGTAATTGGTTGAACACATTTCAGAGCCGATTGCGTAGTGCCACGAAGTCCAACACGAGGAGCAAGCAAGCACTGGTCCCCAGCAAATGGCTTGAGTGGTTTTGCCGCAACCTACATTGCAATCATGTCAAGCAATGACTCTCCTTCGATCCGTTCCAGACCGACAAATTTGGGTGTCATCACTCAGGGCAATTTTGCCCGGAACGGTACTGGAAACGGTTCCGTTATTGAGGTTTCCAATTCATTCTCACATCAAGAACACCAAACCGACAGTTTCAGGTTTCCACTTCAACGATCGAATCTTTCTGGCGAACATGAATGCTGAAAGAGTAAGTGTTTGTCTTCTATCACTCAGGGCTCCCCAGGCGGACCCAAGTTCCCGGGGCGTCATTTGTGGGCTGACTCTGGAGAGCGGAGAGGACGCCCTTGCGAGGCTGTACCTGGCAGCGGTCCAGGGAATAGCGTATGGCACGCGCCAGATCATCGAAAAGATGAATGCGAGCGCGCATAAGGTGAACTCAGATACCACGAACTTGCGGAACGGGTTTCTGAAGATCCGATTGTTGGCAAGTTCGATACAAGGGCCACGACAAAGTCCATAAACCTTTGAGCCATCTTGAACGGATTGATACAAATTTTCGAACCATATGAAGCTGATTGGCCACTTTGATTGCTGTCACTAGTGACCAGAGTCTCCGCTTCTCTAGTTGTCACAGACCAAGACGATTACTAGATAACTCCCTTTGACGGAAAGTAGTACTATTCCGCCAGCATATGCAGTCTGTTGCGTTCTGTGTACGGTAGCTTGATCCGTGTATTCCTAGATACGTCACTGCCCTCGCTTTGTGAAATAGCACGTACTGTCAGCCTTACAAACACATCCTATGGTCTCAGCCTTACAAACACATGCTATGGTCTGTGCAGGTTGATACAATTATTGCTTGCGGAGGTTTAGCAAAGAATTCGCTCTTTCTGAAGCAGCATGCGGATATAACAGGTGAGATTATCTCGCTTATGCACCCTGAACCTTTCAAAAAGATCGACGTGAGAAGTATCTCGTAATCTTTCTCAAAGGAGCAGCGTTGATGGGAGCGGCTGGAACTGGATGTACGTCTTTGAAATGCAACGATCGACTTGATTTGTCTCTCAGATCATCTGCTTTGACACTTTTCGGTTCGTTTTGCCGTCACAGAGTGCCCAGTCATCCTCCCAAGAGAGTCGGAACCAGTTTTGCTCGGCGCGGCGATTGTAGGCGCGGTTGCTGCTAGGCAGTTTGAAAGCATAGCAGATGCGATGCAAGCAATGAACAGCCACGGCAAGATTGTACTGCCTGTGAAAGCCGAGATTGAGAAGACGTATCATGCATTCAAGTTCTCAATCTTCGAAGATCTGTACGTGAGTCAAGTGAAATATAGAAAAACGATGGACAGTGTTTTGCCAACTTAAAACGTACTTATGTTTTTGATTTACTAAGCATGTGGTGATTATATGTCTTATTCCCATTGATATTAATATTGAGTCTAGTAGGTACTTGGTTTACATACTTGATTTTTATCGATCTGGTCTGCCAACAATTGGCGACCTGAGAAAGCTTGTCAGTTGCATGGTTGAAAGCTGGTCTGCTTTCAGTTACATTACGATGCATGCATGGCACATGCTTGCTATGATTGGGGTACTACAAGTTTTGCTCCTCGTATGTGATTATTCCCATATGTCAATCAAGCCTTGAAGGCATCTTATATATTGTTGCACCACCGGCTTTTGTGCATGAGGTTCAATTCACGTGTCGGCCGCATGTGACGTACGGTTTGCAATTGTCTGAACGTTTTGCAATGTATGCACTGATTATGTAACTAGAGCCATATGTACAATGTAGGCCCTATATGTTCAGCGAACTCATGAGTGCACGCTATAGATATACTCGCGCATGTGGCATAAATGCATGATTGCAATTAACTGGGGTGATCACTTATTGATTGATGATGTTCTCCTCCGCACGTTATCCGACGGTTAAAGCATATACATGCGCATGTACACATAGGGCCACGTGTACATAATACCGTGCCCATGGACGGCCCTTACATGTCCTCAGTATACTCCTGATGTATCTCAAATCCACTTTTTTGATACAGTACTGCAATTACTTTGAAGTCCTTTGGGCGGCTTCGATGTTGCGACATGTGAATCTCTATGGATCGCGGCCACGGGCCGTTACGTGTTTGAGCACCTACCAATCTACACTTCGAGGCCCATCAAACTAGCTCAGAGGGTTTCCATTGTCCAATACGTAGGGCAACGACCGGTATGTTACTGACAGCTATCATCACATCATCAGGTCCTTCAGAAACTCAAAACACCGTAATCTGGGCGTAATCTAGCTTTGAAATATTCAGAGGCGAGTGGGCCAGCTGGCTGGCGGGCGAACATAACTATCACACACACGGACATCACGGCTTCAGAAACGCTGGAACTTTGGACTTAAACCACCACCCAGTACTTACATATACGGCCGGGATGCCGGCCGTCCTCAGAACTTGAACTTCAAGTCCGAAGTTCAAGTTCTCCTCGTGGGCGCACACATTTGGCACTTGAAAATGACCCTTTCCCGGCTGTGAGCATGTATAAAACATGCTTTTCAATGGCGGTGCCAAGCCCAGTCGCCCCAAAGAGGCCTTGCAGGAAGGCGCCAGGCTTTTCAGCTCTCAAAACCACCAA